ACGTAAATTCCCCTATATGAATTGAACTACCAAAACAATAATAAGAAGATTTTTGTGATATGAATTTTGACTGAAAGAAACGATTTTTTGTGGACCAATTTTTGCGTGTTCCAGTCTTTAGAACAAGAAAAGTCTAATAGATCAGTTAAGGACGTAGATGCTTGTTCGTTTTAATTTTTTTTATCTTTATTAAGGAGATTTTCAGCCCTTTCGCTTTGATGACTCCATGGATTTATTTTGATTAATTCATTTCATTCCGTTACAAGTTTATAAAAAAAATTGCACATGTTCGACAATTGGCATGGTTACCATTGAAGATCATTTTAGCTCGAGTAAGTGACGAAAGCTGATTCGACAATATCGCCGTGTATGGTCGAGATTTTGCAACACTACTCCTTAGGGAAAACTGGACACGCTTGATCCCTCCGCTCCATGTTTTCTCGAAATCCACAAGGGATTTTTTCGGGAAAGTTGCCAAAATGCCTCGTCTAAAGGGTGATACGGTCAAAATTTGGTCAAGGGAAAACGCGTGTAAATCGGTGAAATCGTTTATTTAAAAAATCAAATTAAATTTCTTTTTCAAGTTCAATTAGTATAAAATTCAGGAAAAATATTCAGTTAGGCTTCCGCTTTTCCAAATCCGAATTGCCGGGCCTTACGCTTGACCCCTGCCATCAGATTTTGTACAGCCACCTTGTCCACCTTCTTCGCCGCAGAAAGCCAGTTTGCCTTGAACTGCTGCTCGCCCTTAGCAGTTTTTTTGGTCTTCTTTAGGTTCCGCTTGACAATAGCCCAGTATTTCTCAATTGGGCGGAGCTCTGGCGTGTTGGGAGGGTTCTTGTCCTTGGGAACCACCTGCACGTTGTTGGCGGCGTACCACTCCATGGCCTTTTTACCGTAATGGCAAGATGCCAAATCCGGCCAAAACAGCACGGAACAACCGTGTTTCTTCAGGAAAGGCAGCAGACGTTTATTCAAACACTCTTTAACGTAAATTTCTTGGTTGACAGTCCCGGAAGCTATGAAAATGCTGCTTTTCAAGCCACAGGTACAGATGGCTTGCCAAACCAGATATTTCTTTGCGAACTTTGACAGTTTCATGTGCTTGAAAACATCTGCTACCTTTCCCCTTCCTTTTGCCGTATAAAACTCCTGTCCCGGAAGCTGCTTGTAGTCGGCTTTGACGTAGGTTTCGTCGTCCATTACCACGCAGTCAAACTTCGTCAGAATCGTCGTGTACAGCCTCCGGGATCGCGCTTTGGCCGTCGTATTTTGTTTATCATCGCGATTTGGAGTCACTACCTTCTTGTAAGTCGATAGTCCGGCTCGTTTTTTGGCTCGATGCACGGTTGTAGACGATACACCCAGCTTATTTGCGGCATCTTGGAGAGAGAGGTTAGGGTTTCGCTTGAAACTACCGGCAACTCTCTTTGTCGTCTCAGCGGCTTCCGGTTTTCGATTTCCCCCCGATCCAGACTTCCTGGCTGTCGACAAACGTTCCCCAAACACTTTAATTACATTTGTAACGGTTGATTTGGCAACTTTTAGCGATTTTGCCAACTTTGCGTGCGAGTAGCTCGGATTTTCGCGATGCGCGAGTAAAATTTTGATACGCTGCTCTTCTTGCTTGGACGGCATTTTGACAACTGAAGAGTGAATTCCAAAATCAAAATAGGAGCAACATTTTACACACACACACCTTCAAAATGAGGGGTGTTCAGGTTTTTTAAATGCAAAATTGAAAGAAATACGTCAAGTTGATATTGACCAAATTTTGACCGTATAACCCTTTAGAGACGGAAGGCAATGTTATACCGATATTTGCGTCAGTTTCACGGTGTCTCAAAAAAAAAATTACCAACGATAGAACGTTCTTTTTTTTAGCCAGCATACAATTTTTAATAACCTCTTGGATATTCTATTGAAAAGCATCAAGTTTTCACAGCTCAAAGCGAAAAGCTGAACCGACTAGCTCGGGGCTATCCTTTCAGGGTCGGCGCCAATTGCTTGGGGAAGACTGACAACCATAACCAACAAACGAAACAACAGGCGTTTAATAAGTAAGATCAATCATTGAATTGGTGCTGTTTCTATTGATCTTTTGTTCAGTTAGATTTGAAGCTGAAAACTCAATTCCCCCTGACTTGACTTGATCCCTCAAGGATAAGACACACTCATTCATTTACCTCTACCTTTTTACATTAACAAAATTCCGTATGATGTATTAAGATTTTGTAGGTTTTAATATTAGCTACAACTTATGTCAGGAACTCAAATCTGTATCACTTATGCGTGATGAACCAAGGCAAATAGAACCCACCATTTTTTTTTACAGAGAATGTAAAATACATTTTTTGAAAAACAATAACAAGTACATCCCGTTCTGGTTCGTCATGCATATGCGATACAGTTTTGAGCTACTGATAAAAGTTGTAGATAATAGTAAAGCCTATAAAATCTTCATGCATCATTTTACAGAATTCTGTTAATGACAATAGTTAGAGGTAAATGGTAAATGGTAAATGGTAAATGAATGCACGAAATGAATGTAAATGATTTTCCATACCTTAACACGCTTAATATTGTTATATAACGGTAAAATAATAAACCTCTGTTTGGGGATACTTGAACCCCCGGAATTTTGACACATTCCATCCCGGAATTTGTGTGAAATTTGTGAAATGGAATCAACTGGGGGACCTCAGTTTGTAAAACTTTTCTGGCTAATTTTATAAAAATTTACTTTTAGGAAATATATCATGTTAGAAACTCGAGAGCAAGGTAAATAACGTCTGCGTTAACGTCTGCCCCGTATCGTGGGTAGATCGCCTTTTCGTGGTACGTTACGGGATGTAAGATCTATCACCGATTCCTAGTCCTGACTTCTTCAAACTAGGGGAACAGTCCTTGTTACTTTTTATGCCTTGTTGACAGGGACAAGACTCGGCTTTGTCCACCGAGGATGATCTTGAAACAAGGAAAAATTGAGTTAGTTAGTCTTCATCTATGTGATTCCTAATCTTCCATTCGTTGTTCCTTAGTTTGAAGTGGTTAAGACTAGGGTTCTGATGCATGCGGTGTCATTCCTAAATTTTGTTGCTAAGGAATCCAATTTTGACTCACAAAGGTTCGCGCCTTTGGAGGGTGTATCAACACTCCGAAGGGTATAAATAGCGGGACCTTTCAATTAGAGTCGGATCCTTGCGATAAATGCAAGAATGACAACTGTAAAAAACGAATACTTCATAATTTCTCAATAGTGATGGAGTAATACGACATGCACTAAACTAAGGACACGGGATATACTACAATAGATCAAATTACTGGTCGCAGTGGTGTTAAGTCCCGAACAGAGGAAAAAAAATATATACGCCTTTATTCACTGGGTATTGTATCAATTCAAACTTTGTGATAGGGATGGATCAACATCAAAGCAGAAAAAGTGAAAAGTAAAATTCCAACTTCACTCAGTTTTCAATAACATGCGCTCTTCTCTAAGATGGCCTCTTAAATATGCAAAGAACTGTGGCTTTGAATGTGCGAAAATGATGTGAAAATACAAAAAGAGTCATGTAGTCTCAAAACGACAAAATAGTATAATAGACTCCGGGCCAACTTGTAACGCCAAAATGACCTAAAAAATGCAAAAAATTGCCTCAGAACGCATAATGATTTTTTTTCCAATTTGATAAATGCTTACAATACTTTAAACAAAGAAAATGCCGATTTATGTTGATGATTACAGTCATTACCTGACGTCTTCAGACTGGCAGAACCATTATCGCATCACTTTTCAATAGGTTCAATCTATACACGCAAAATAAATTTCTCTTACATCCAATGTAAGGTTGGATGTATTACATTATCTGTATATGTTTCCTATAACATCTTTGTCCGAAATAATAAGCTAACATAAAAATATCTAAATTATTTTAAAAATCTTCCGGCGACCACATTACAGATCTGTTCATGTTGCGATTTTAGTTTTGGGTGCTAGGTAATACCTTCTTAAATAGCACGAAATGTGTTAGCATGGTAGTGGAAAGTCACTGAAAAGAATGATCATTTTGGATAGTACCTATTGAAAAGTGACGCGAGTAATCGGTATTCTTAGCCAACGGTCTTCCCAAACGTTTAATTTTTTGTAGTCATTTTTTATTCATTCCATCACCAAACGATCAACCTCCAACAGCCAAGAGGATAAAACTTTCCCGTTGTGTGACATCAAGCGTCTTAGAAGCGAAAAAGCGAAAAAGTACAACGAGAGTGAAAATAGCGTTAAAAGGGGATTATTGAACTCAAATTTTTGGTTTCTGACGAAAGCCTCTTTTCGGGCGGTTTGTCATTTTTCAACTCACGCATTGCACGCACTCCCCGTTTGCTCCCTTGCTTTCCTAGTCTGCGGTGGGGAAAACGAAAGACGTTTCGCTCTGCTAGAAGCAGCTGCCGATGGCTTAGTTGTGAATTATGTTCTTTCCCAGCCCCGGTTTCGAGTGCGAGTGGGAGTTGGGTGCAGCACAATGCGAGCAAAGCCGAGGGTGCAAATTGACTACCCAAGCATTTCGGAGAACCGTAGCTCAAAGATCAAAAGCAGTGGTTTTGACTCGCTTCTGGAACGGTTCTCTGCGAAAGAAAGTAAGTTAACGCTTCATTTGAGATTGTTTGTAGAAATATTTCAACTGTGCATGTAATCGCCAAAGTGAAAATGAACTGTGAAATCGCTGGAATTGAGAAGGTTTTCCCAGACACGGTGGAAGCTTCGTCAGCTGTGTTTGCTTGCCATAATGTGATTTCGTTTGCACATCTCGGCTTCCGTAGAACCGCAGCCAAGGATTGATTAGTATTCAAAATCGCGACACTCTGTCTTAATGAGAGCGCATTAACCGTGAACACGCTTTTGGGTGAGTAAATGGTTGGTAAATATTTTACAATCCACCCGAAGGTTAACCTCAGGCAAAAGCTGGATTGTATGTGTCTATGTATTAATTTTGATCTCTTACCGTCTTTATTCATCGCCGACTGGAAGCACTTGGATAACCGACAAGCTCGACACTGATTGCGATGGGTTTTGTCTACAGGACACCGACCCTTCAGTTCACCGGCTGCCTTGCAGGTGTATACTCGATTACGATGGATGCTGCGTTTGAAGAAACCAGAGCAGCCTGTGGAAAGAGAGACAAAAATACAGAACTGGTGAGACATTAGGAAAAAACTGGTATTCAGGCAACTGGATCGCTCAACAAGTTAGTAAGTAAAGGGTGTCCACGATGAAATTGCCACACACAAAATTGATTCGCAAAATTCGAGTTTTGATCCGATTGCCATCAAATTTTCAGGGATTGAGAAATAACTATTAAACTTCATTTTACCATTTTACTCGTATTTTATTTACAGTCCATACGCAAATGCCCGCACCTTGGCCTTAACCCCGGCCATAAGATTCTGCACAACCTGTGAATCAACCGTTTTTTGCATGTAAACCCATACTTTCTTCAGTTCCTCGACTGTCTTCACTACCTTAGGTCGTTTAAGAAGGTGCTGCTTCATAATCGCCCAGTACTTCTCGATGGGGCGGAGCTCCGGAGTGTTGGGAGGGTTGAACATTTTCGGCACGAAATTGACCTTATTGTCCGCATACCACTTCAGCACGTCCTTGGAGTAGTGGCATGAGGCCAAATCCGGCCAGAAGATTGTTGGGACGTTGTGGGCCTTCAGGAGAGGAAGCAGCCGCTTCTGGAGGCACTCTTTTATGTACACCTGTCCGTTCATCGTGTCCTGGGTCACGAAAGGTGCACTCCGCTTCCCGCACGTGCAGATGGCTTGCCAAACTAGGAATTTCTTCGCAAATTTGGACATCTTCTGAGTGCGGACATGCTCCGGAACGCTGAACTTATCCTTGGCCGTGAAAAACAGGTTGCCGGGGATCTGTTTGAAGTCGGCCTTCACATATGTTTCGTCGTCCATGATGCAGCATTCAACTTTCGTCAGCATGTTGAGGTACAACTTCCTGGCACGGGTTTTGGCGGACTTGTTCTGCTTCTCGTCGCGATTAGGGGCCTTTTGTACCTTGAACGTTCGAAGCCCAGCCTTAGTTTTGGCCTTCTGGACAAAACTTCGGCTTAGGTGCAGCTTCTTAGCCACATCCCTAACGGAGGCGTTCGGATTTCGATTGAAGGCCCCAACTACGCGGTTGTGATTTTTGGTGTTGTACGGAATATTTTTTCCTTCACTTCTGGGCTTCCGATCGGTGGTCAACCGTTCCTCGAACCGCTTAATCACTCGCGACACCGTGGAATTCGCGATTCCCAACGTTTTAGCGATGGAACGATGCGAGAGATCCTTGTTCTCGTGATGAATGCGCAAGATTTTATCACGCACGAGCTGTTCTTTCGACTCCATTTCCGCGAGTTTTGATCACAGGACTTTAAAACTTGCAGGATGTAAATAATGCACTATGAACTAAATCCACCCAAATTTTCATTAAATTCTACCCAACGGTTAAAAAGTTAGAGCAATTTCATAGTGTGGCAATTTCATCGTGGACACCCTTTATTATCTTTGAATTCTCAGCTTGTTTGGACCTCTTGTGGTGATAATGATGATGGTGGTTTCAGCAGTCACCACTAGCTCATACAATGGTTGGAACTAGAAGATTTTTCTATAAGATAAAATTAATGAAAACATAAAAATTAGGTTTGCAGAAAACAATAGCTGATTTCTCCTGCACATATAAATCGCCTCAAAAGTTGTAAATTGCTTAACGCTACTACTAATGCAGAGTACATAGATGTTTCAAATATAAGTTGGTTTAATTTTGTTTTTATCTTTAGTGAGTTTCGACAATGATGAATTCGACCAGAACGTAATAACAATATTATATCACGATTGTATCAAGTTCTGTTATAAATAACAACTGTTGATATAATCTTGTTTTAAGTGCTCTGTGCTGAAAGGAGGAAAAATTGCCACATAATTTGTTAGAATTAACATTTAACACAACATTTTAACAAAGTTAGTTACAATTAACAGCAACAAAATTATACGTATTTTTAATAGATTTTCGTTTTGTGTTAGTCTTGAGCAGGTAGTAGAATTTAAAATGATTTAAGGGCTAAGGATAAGTTTTGTATAAGGAATTGGGCTAATAGGGTTAATGTCCCTTATTTCAGCCTAAGTGTCTAATATTGGGCCCATAAATAAATTTCGAAGAAAAGCAGTTTTTGACAATTATAAACTAGAAATCAAAAATATCCATTTGTGTTATCCAGATGACGCATTTTTCAGTTTCTACCCTTTTTAGGATTTACCCTATTGAGCTATTTCGCAACAGGGTGTGTTTGAAATATGATATAACCCTAATAACAGATGTTAAATTCTTGATAATACGTTATTTTTACTACTTCTAACAGACCATGTTACGGAGAATGACAAATCCAAGTAACACAGTGTGTAATAATTCAGATACACGCAAAACATTGCATTGCAGTTATGAAAGTTAGTAGAAAATTATTATTAAATTATTAGCCTAAATTATAGCGGTGCTGGTGATGTAGTGGTAAGTGTGATTACCTCTCACCACAGCAGGCCTGGGTTCAATCCCAGTCGGCGCCGCCGGTATGTTCTGAGGCATAACATGTTGGTCCCCGGTTCATGAGTTGATGGGTGGATAGGTTCAGGTGTGGAAAAGCTGCCTCCCTGGCGTCGGTAGCATTGGTGCTCAGAACGGAAAAAAGATCGACGGAAAAAAATCAAAGAAGAAAAGCCTAAATTAGTTGGCCTCACACAGCTATCTTGAAACCCATCATAATGAAGCAGATTTCAAAATTTTGCATGGGAGTGAAACCTTCAATAAACATATTACATTAAATATTCTTAATGTTTTTTTTTATATATTGACTGAAAGACTTGGTAAATTTTGACTTATCACCCATAAATAGATACAAAAAAAAAATTTATTAAATATACGTACCGAAAAGTTACCATAATTTCAAGCACAGTCACACTCACTCATGTAACCTACACACCACTACCCAAGCAGCCCAAAGCTATGACAGAAAGTTACAGTAACTTGATTGAAACTGAAATAAGTCACATAAACATTGCCTCAACCGTTTAACAACAAGTGTGGGGCTAGGGTAGTTGTGCATAGAACTAACGTGAAAGATGTCCATCCTTGGGTGGCTGCTCGCTTTCTATTTGACCTGGTCCCAAGACAGACTTCGTTTGTGAACCAGCCTATGGCTGAAAATCTCTTTAATAAAGACAACCAAACAAACGTTATTAACTTTTTGGGGCTCCACCACCCTGGGTCCACCTCTGCTGCTATTTACGGCCGGGTTCCAATCCAGCACTTGCTTGCAGATTTCGATTCCGCTTCTTCGTCGTGTGTGGCCGACTCACCCCCATCTCCTTTTCAAGTTCTCGAATTTCTGTTGATTTCAGCTTCTTATGACATCGAGGATTGAGTTCAGCATTTGAGATCCAGTTGTGAGGCCACCAGATAAAAATTATATACTGCAGGCATCGGTTGAAGAAAACCTGCAGTTTTTTAGTGTTCTCTGCTGACATACACCACATCTCGCTGGCGTATAAAGCAACACAGATTTCACGTTTGAATTTTTCCAATTGGTATTCTAGGTGTAGTGTGCTGTCTATTGCCTGGTTTTAAGTGTTCAGTCTGGCCTTTTTTTTTTTTAGTTCGGTGCGTTGACTTATCTGGTTAAATTTCCATTAGTGTGCTTCATTAAAAAAAGCCAATAATTTGAAATTTGTACTGTAATAACTATAGAAGAATTTTAAAAATCACTTATATCGCTCTGACTTTGCTTCTACTTGTCTACTTTGTCCAAATGTTGAAATTTTTGAATATATCGAACTGGAGGGTGGTCTGTCAGAAATTCATCAGTTTTTTTTAATGATGCACCCTAATCTCCATATGTTTTGTAAACTTGCAAAAGCAGAGCTAGCCTTTTTGATTCTTGCACCTATATCGCTCTTATATTGATATTTAAAAATATTGAAAACATTCAACTTTCTCCACTGCTGGCCCGCAACCGTTAAGTTGGAAAGGTTGAAACTCCAATAATTTCGCGCAGTTTAAATAAAATCTAAATTGATTGATGAGCACTAATTATACAATAACTGTTGTTTTCCGTCGATCTTGTTTTCCTTACTGAGTATCAATGCTATCGACGCCAAGGAGGCAGCTCCCACACCTGGAACCTACCTATCGACCCATCAACTCATGGACCGGGGCTTTACTTCCCGATCAGAGATGTTATGCCTCAGAAAATCCCAACGGCCCTTTGGAGTGAGAGGCAGTCACGCTTACCACTGCACCACGCCGCTCAGAATAATTGTTTGCCTTATTACGTTATTTTTCCTTTTAATTGTACTTCTATTGTATCAGTTTCACTTTCACTAATTCACTTTCACTATTTACTTTCACTATCACTTAAAACAAAACTATATCAGATACTTATTTCGTTTACTACTTGCAAGCTTCTTCAGTGTCTAATCATGGAAAAGACTAAACACTGAAGAATTTATTTTTTAAAGTGATAGTGAAAGTAAATAGTGAAAGTGAACTAGTGGAAGTAAAAGTGATACAATAGTAGTAGAATTAAAAGGAAAAACAACGTAAAATGGTTAATTAAAAAAATCATAATTGACTATAAAAATTAAAATTTATAAAATGTTACAATACATATTATCCAAAATTATCCACGTGAAATGTTGGCACTTCACAGTAGCTCGAAAAAAGAAGTGTTTTAAATTTTCGCTCTTATACCTCGCCGTATTAAATTTTATAATCAGCATCATTATTATAGCTTTCAAGATAGCCGGAAGAGGTAAAATATTGCATACCTATTGATCTTGATTAAAATCAATGAATTTTATTCGAGTCTCTATAGGTAGGTGATTCTGACAAATATTTACGTGTCATACGTTAAGAAAATCGTTAAATTTAAAAATAATTCCGAGATTAGGAATTTCTGGGAAATAATACATTCCGGGAAACAGTTTTCGAGGGAATGGTTCATTCTGGCCAATGGTCTTTCAGGAAATGGTAAATAGTTTTCCAAGAAATTTCAAACAATAACTTGGAACAATCATCAGAAGCGGAGTTCGCCTTAGCATTCCTTTAAAATTTTGTTTAGATTCAGATTCCCTTTGAATTATTATCAGAACTCACTTGGAATTCTTCTTAGAATTACTTTTGAATACTCATCAGATTTTCTTTGGAGTTATAATTATTTCAAGAATTTCCTTTGAATTGTAACCATAATTATAATGGATTTATTTTTTAAATTTCATTGAAAATTTTTCTCAAAATCCCCATGGAAGTATGAAGCAAAATTGCCATGGAAGTGGAATAATTACATATAATATTTTTATGGGATTTTCCTCAGCATTTCCTTAGAAAGTTCCCGTTGGAATGCGGTCAAAAAATTCATATCCTTCTTAGAAATAATATGGAACTGCAGTACCGGACAAAAGGATATAAAATGGTGATTTTTTTTTTCGAAAAAGATTTAAAAAGCTGTAATTTTTCAGTATGTGCATCATAATTTCTCAAATGTTGGCTGCCTCCCTCACTACGGTAATGAGTTCATGTCATTGTTTCCACCTTAAAGTTAATTGTGTCACCAGCTTTAGCCATACATCTTAATCATGATTTGTTTAATCTCTTACCGTCACAGCTGTAGATGCCATAGTGCTTTCCTGAGCTACGATCACCGCATACCTTGCATGGGATGTCAAGTAATCTGTCACCTCAATAATAGATAAAAGAGATAGAAAGAAAGCGAATTAACGAATTGTCTGTATCTACAAACATAATGTGATCGAATGTTTAAAAAATAATCTATTATCTCTGGTTTGAAGCCTTTCAGATTTTGTCTGGATATTTAGGACCTAATCTCTGCTAATTTGGTTTCGAATACCTCCCTCTTGGCTATTTTTGTTTCCCTTTGCGACGCTGGAGAAAAATTAAACAAAAATAAAGCACTTATTTAGATCTGACAACCCCTTTCAATTAAAAATGTACACATCCTCAACAGTGGGTAATTTTTCCATCACTTAAACATGAACCTATTGTATATGAGGCGGCTGTCAGCCGGTCGAGCTTTCTTGACTACTCGACACTGAGCAGACCCTTTTCTCCGCCGGGCGCGTTGTTGCTGTGTTAGTACGTGAATTCTGCGAATGTAATCCTTCGCCGTCGGTGGGTTTTCGAACTGATACAGTTTTTTCCCTCATTATTTTTGGTACAGTTTCCGCTAGCGCAGCACGCAGCAGGGAAATGTTTTCCCATGGTCGAAATAGAGGCATTAGCACCCAAAAGGGTATAGGAGGGTGGAAAATGGCAAATGCAGGAAGCGTTAAAGCGAAAAAGTGAGAAAAGGGATTGTTGATCTTTTCTTGCTTTGTTGCTTTTTAGCGTTGAACGGTTGAACAACGCTGTCGTCTTCTATCCACAGGATTTTGTTCAACTTTTATTTTTCAAAACCTATTATTATAATTCTAAGATGAATAATATTTGCTCTATATCTAGATGAAAAACGTAACGATACCACCGTCATGTGAATAATACAACTCATGTAATTTAATCACATTGATGCCTCTGTTATATAAGGTTTATTAAAAATCTTTTGGATGTCCTCTCCAGTTCACATTGAAATGCTTACATAAGCATCAATACGCATCAGTTTCTTATTTTTCATCAAACTCTGGGTGATGCATTATGCAGCTGTAATGCATGTCAAGTCAATTACTGCTACAATCAGGAGCTTGGTACATTGCTCTTCAGTAAGCATTTCGCATTAAAATATTGTAAATCCTACAAAATATTTTAAATAAATAAATTTTTCCTAGGAAATCAGCACCAAACTTGGGAATTTGATAAACTATTATCGGGCATTCAGCCTTAGTTAGTCACTTACAAATTTATTTTATTTGAAAATCGGAATGATTTAGCGGTAAATAAGATCGCCAAATCAGCGGCTGATCTCTGGGGGAGGATCAACGCCCTCAGGTGAAAGAGAAAGAATCGAGGTATTGCACTACGCCGACCCAGATCCTGCTGCAGGACTACATTGAAGTAGTTGGCGCTGACTTTGCCTCGCTATCTGCGATTTCAGGCTATGACAAACGTTTTCGACGACAAAAGGCAGCGTCGTCCACCTCTCTGGTTGAAATCCAAATACCGGTAGAGGAATCTGCATTGAAGCTCAACAGGCCTTTTCGGGTGGATGAGCATGAACTGGTTCTTTCAAAAGTCAGGGGTAAAGCTTCCGGTCCGGTGGGCTACCCTCTGTTGTGAAACTTTTGAAGGTGAGGTGTGATTACTTGAATTGATAAATCGTGAATGGGGGAACGACTCAAATCAGGGATTCTCCGGTCGGGCAGCCAAGGACTTCCAGCCCATCTATCTCACATGTTGTGCGCAAAGATCACAGAGTGAATTTTCCGCCCGGAACACGGATATATATACCCTTAGCTCAGTCGGTAAAGGCATAGCTACAAAGCAAGACCATGGGTGGCTGGGTTCGATTCCCGCCCCGGTCTAGGAATTTTTCGGGTAGAAACATTTCTCGACTTACCTGGGCATAGAGTATGATTGTACTTGCCGTTCTTGAAATGGGCTATTGTAGCTGCGGTAGAGCTGTCACCTTCTAACTCCCGGGTTCAAGCTTCTTACATTCATGAGAAATGATTGCAGGCAGATTTTATCCATAATGCCACTGCCAGTTAGTGGGAGTTAGGCCAAGGGCGAATCTTCATTTTAATCTACTATTCCACATACTAGTAATAACCTTTTACACATGAGAACCTCCTATCGATCAGAATGAATTGTGCATAAGTTTAGGATCAACAAACATTTTCAGGCGCAAAGGAGCAACAGGATCGAGCTGATAACGTTTCTTAATTCCAAAATCTGAAGACTGTTTTGAATAATATGTTTAGGTAATGGACAGCAACAACGGACAGATAAACTACTTACAGCTTCTTTTTATTAAATGCTTGATATAACGATTGCCAGCAACGCCGGCTGGGCGTATCCTTTGGCTTACCCTCCCTACTAACAAAAATCCACCCCTCCCGTGACACTTACGAGGGGTCGTAGAGTTCTCTGCATCTCTCTTAAGTAAGTGTCGGACTAACTTTCCCCCCTTTTCCCCACCAGATGCAAGGACGTGGCCAGGACAGCTCTGGTCTGTTGGAGGGAGACACATCCTTTATCTAAGAGGTAGTAATTAATCACAAATTACTATCTAACAGCAACGGATGAAGGTGGGTCTCCTTCTTAACAACAGTTTGGAGCTCGTACCACCTACGAAATTGTGCAACCTGGTTTATGCTATGCTATGCATGTCATAAATGATGGTTTGAGTGCTTTTTCAAACAGGCGAAAAACAATAAAATTGGTTTTTAGTATGTTTGAAAAATGTGTAACGCAGACTACACGCTACAATATGGAACCAATGTTTCAAATTCGGAATAAGTGCAGAGAGTAAATGTAATCATTATATTTTACTATCAAAGACCCCCGCATTATCAAAGATACCCCGTTTTACGGTACTCCATTTCGTAAAGAACTTCCAACTTAATCGCACCTTACAAGTCATTCTGGGCAACCATAGATCCTAGACATTCCGGCAGGAGACCGGAGGAACAACATCTACAGTGGTCTTAGATAGCCTAGTCAGTAAAGGTACGGTATTATCAAGTCGGAAGAGGCGGGTTCGAATCCCGATCTGGTCGAGCAAATCTTTCGGGTAGGATTTTTTTTGACTTCCCTAGGCATAGAGTATCATTGTGCTTGCCATACAATGTACAAATTCATGCATAGGTTGTCATAGAAAGCTCTCAATCAATAACTGGGGAAGTGTATCTAGAACACTAAGTTAAGAGTCACCAAAACGCTTACTACAAAAGCGTAAAAAACCTTAATGAAAAAGAAAATATCTACAGTGGAGGAGGATCATACATTTTTGTATACTAGGGTGGCCCATCATGATAATTTTTTCAGAACAATATTTTTTTGGTTCCATTTGGGGTTCCAAGCAACTGTGAAAAATTTGAGGACGGTTGGTAAATGTTTTTGAATAACTCATCCGAACATACCCACTCGAGAAGATGGGAAACTCTGAAATCTGTAACTTCACTTTCATTGATATAAGTGAGAGCCCAGATAACCAGAATGCACGTAGTTTTAAAGTTTCTGTGATATACAAACAAACAAATCGTATAAAATTCAAAAAAGGGCCTATACCTACAAAAGTGGAGGCCATATACGTGCAAATTTAAATTTCTTTTTAAACGAGTAGATTTGACATTATATACGATTTAATCTGTAATAACAAATTCAATTTGAAAAGCCTTACGGTGTAATCCGATTTAATTTGTGAAACAGTACGATCGAAAAATGATTCAACGCATCCCAACAAACAATTCAAAGTCACAAATAAGCATACACATTGAATAAATGCTGTATAACAGTGTACAATGTTGAATAAAACAGGATGTCGAATTATGTGCTGAAAAAACCTCATTGAGATCGATAGATATGCCTTCATTCCACTGTTTGCTCTGATATGATAAATTTACTTATTATAAGCTTTATAAACGTTGACTGTCTTCCTGATTCAGCACCAAAAGTTTGATCTAAAAACAAACTGAATAAGTGTAATTTGCACATACATTGTCACTTTAATTCGACTCTTTTCAATTGATTGAATAAAATGTTTTATTAAACATCTTATAAATGTTTTCTAGCTCCATTATTAGATTTCATTGCATTGCTTTACAATATTGCTGTATAAAGGTGAATACACTCAGCAAAATAGCTCTTATACCACCCAACAAACAATTTAGAGTCACAAATAAGCATATATATTGAATATATAACAGTGTATAATGCTGAATAAAAAGAGTGATCGAATTTTGTGCTGAAAAAGCTCATTGAGATCGATAGATGCACATTTATTCCACTGTTTGCTTTGATCTGATTAATTTACTTATTAAAAGCTGTAAAAGTATTAAATATCTTCCCAATTCAACGCCAGAAGTTTGATCTAATAACAAACTGAATAAGTGTAATTTGTACGTACATTGACACTTTAATTCGACTGTTTTCAATTGATTTAATAACATGCTTTATTAGACGTTCAATAAATGTTGTTCAGCTCCATTATTAGATTTCATTGCATTACTTTACAATATTGCTGAATAAAGGTGAATACAGTCAGCATAATAGCTATTATACCACTATGCGTCCATGTTGTAATCACATGATTTGTAAATGCTTTATAAACGACGTATTAGATTCATTATTCGACAACACTGATTCAGTCTAACAACAAGGCGAAATCAGTAGAGACGTGGTTCCCGTTTCCGCTTTCTAATTAGAAGGTCATGAGTTCAATCCCAAGCTTAACCCTTTTTTTTATTTGTGTTCTACATCTAATTAATTTAAATAGTAATCATCGATCACATGACTCACGATAATGAATGCATTTATCTTGTTCAAAAAATAATCGAGCATTCCTTCCTTGGGATTGGAGTGGTGAAGAGGAAACATTGGTCTCATGTTAAACAACGATGAATGAATTAATCATTCCCACATGGCCTTGAAGAAGCTAGAGTTGCGATCGGGAGTGCTGATAGGTATTTATTTTCATGCAAGCTTTTATTGATTATTGAGTTGTCCATATGATGAGTTCTAGGATAGCTCAGATGACAAGGCAAGCGGCTGGTGATCGGAAGGTACA